CAGTGTCACTGGCCCTCATATGTGGGATCCGAACCGGGGCCCTCTGGCATCCCAAGCGAGTTCTTAACCATCGCGCCACTCGGCCGGCCCCAGAGAGACCTTCTTAAAAGCAAAAATTGACATCACTTCACTAAAACCTACCAATGGCTTTCCTGCTGTTAGGATACAGTTTGAACTTTGGGGCCTACTATTCAAGACCTTTGATCATTTGGCTCCTTTCTACCATCAATATTGAACCCAAGTACTTGTAATTCCAGAAAATGCCATGATTCTTGCCACACTTTCTCCACCCTTTCCCTTCAAACCTCAACACAGACATGACCTCCTCCAGGAAGTTATCTGTGATGCCCCCTTCCCCCTCCCCAAGTTAAATGCCCCTTTGCAGTGCTCTGTAATGGTTCTTACCATGTCGTACTCTAATTGTTGGTGTAGATGTTTAGCTCCTCTAGACGGTGCCGTTCTAAATGGGCAGCTACGGTGTCTAATTTGCCCACTTTTCCAGGTACGTGATCATGTACCTGGCACAGAGTAGGTGCTCAGAAGACACTTGATGAATAAACGGTTGAGTCAATGATGTTTTACTGTACTATAGTAGCCTTTTGGGAAAGAACATTTGGGTATCACACACACACCAGAACGGCACCCAGAGCGCAGGGAGCCTAGAACCTTATGATTCGGCTGAGCATCTGCTGCCCGGATCCTGGCCGTCATTTGCCTTGAGGGCCTTTGGGGGGCGCTGTGCGGACGGGGCCCGCTCTCCGCCGCCGGAATTCGTCTTGCCGGACGGAAACGGGGGCGGGGCAGGTCCTGACCAAGCCAGGATCGACCCGGAAGGACGGAGTGTTTGCGATCTTGCTGCCCCTCCCCTGGTCCCGGCGCTCCTCACGGGGCCTGGCCGGGGTGCTGCGAGGGCCCCGGGAGGTACGGAGCTGGGAGGCCGGGTTCGGCCACCGCGTCAGGGCCGCTTTAGGTGGCAGATCTTCGCTGCCTTTGATTCCCTGTGGGGGTCTCCTCGTGGGGAAATCGGGCAGAAGCCCCGCTGTCCGTCTCTCTTGGGGTATCGTTCATTTCAGGGCTCACTCCATGGGGCCCTTCGGGCAAGGAGGCTCTGTATCAGGAGTTCCTCCGGAGAGGTTTCTGTTTGGGACTTCTTTTGGGAGCGACTCTGTATCTCTGCTCTCTGGGGGAATCTGGGGCTCCTGCTGGGAAACCTGTGTTTGGGATGCCTTCGAGATCTCGGGGACCTCTTTGGAGCAGGGGTTTCTGTGTCTGAGCTTTCTCATCTGGGTCTGTCAGTCCAAGGGCAACATAAATTGTCTCCTTTCCGGAGCCTTTTCCCCTTAGATTCCTATCTCCTTTCTTGTCTGATGGTCTTCATCTTAGCTGTGGGCTTGACTAGGAATTAGAGGGAATTAATTGTTGTCCAGATAAGTCGTACAGGAAAGCAAAAGATCCGCCCTCCGTATTTGTTCCCTCTTCCCAGGAAGAATAGCTTTAAGACAGATCCACACAAAAGTGCTTCTGCTTATTTATTTCTCCGTGGGGTTGCAATTAAAAAGAGGAAGCCGAGCCCAAGCCCCCTTCCGCATCCTCCGAGACCCGTGCACACAGAGGAACCTGGCCAGTGGTTCATTTAAACCAGCAACTCTCTTTCCCCCTTATGGCAACATTTAGTGAGCACCTGCTCTATGCCAGTTACTGGCCAGGTACTGGGGATAACAATGGTGAATAAGAAACAGCTCCCTGTCCAGCAGTGGACATATAGGCACATAACTTCTGCCATACACGCTGACTAGAGTAGGGGACAGTGCTGAATCCCTGAGGCTACACCTGCAGTTCAGAACTTGGGCTCTCAAGTTACGGGAGGTCTGCCCTCTGGTTGGATCCCACCTCACCCAGTCTGCTTCTGTTCTTCAAGGTTGAAGGGCTAAGCATGGGGAAGAGCTGCAAGGTGGTCGTGTGTGGCCAGGCATCTGTGGGCAAAACATCAATCCTGGAGCAGCTTCTGTACGGGAACCATGTAGTGGGTGAGTGTTGTTGGGGGTGGCGGAATGGTACAAGGTGAAGAATAAGGAATAGGATCTGATAACAACACAGAGGCTAAGAGCTGCCCCTGGTGGTTCTTGCACCCCAAAGAGTAACATTTACACTACGCACCCCCTCCCCCCAGCCCTACACCATTGAGATCTGGAGGAAGGAAGCCCAGTATCTGAGATGAGGAGGAAATGCTCCCAAGTCACGCTTTTGCTTTGCCGCGTATGAGCATGAGATTAATGTCTGTTCCCCCAAATCATTCCAGTCCTGCCAGACTCGGTCTCTGGCCCCCCTCCCCTCAGCCCCCACATTCCTTTCTTTCCCTGTCTGGTCACCCTGACAGGATATACGCGTGTATACTCAGTCACTCACATTTCCCACCTGCTTCCTCCCTACAAACAAGGTTTCTCCTCATGTTATCCCAGGCTCTGAGATGATTGAGACGCAGGAAGACATCTACGTGGGCTCCATTGAAACCGACCGGGGCGTGCGGGAGCAGGTGCGTTTCTATGACACCCGGGGGCTCCGAGATGGGGCCGAGCTGCCCCGGCACTGCTTCTCCTGCACTGACGGCTACGTCCTGGTCTACAGCACAGACAGCCGAGAGTCTTTCCAGCGTGTGGAGCTGCTCAAGAAGGAAATCGACAAATCCAAGGACAAGAAGGAGGTGTGTGTGGGAGCTCCGGTGGTGAGAGACAGTGGGCCCTGGGCTGGCCTTGGGAGGCTTGGCATGGCTTTGTTTTCCAGTCATTTGCCAGGAGTGGGTTAGGAGCTGGAGGGGCGACGGAGGCCACTGGAGGGTATCTTCACCCCTGGAGGTGGCCCCATTGTTGAGGCAGCTCAACTGAAGAGGCGTCTCTTCAGTTTAAGAGGTTCCTGACCTAACACATGAAGCCCCCATTAGTCTCTTCTTATGATTCTGTGCTCTGAGCTGTGAAAGCCCTTCTGTTCTTAATCCCCCTTTACGCTACAGGCATTCTGGGAGTGCTTCCTCACTGGTTGTTTAGCCAGAAACTAACTGCTAGTGATGAGCTGGCATGGGTGACACAGGGCTCGTAATGGGACTCCTGGAGGGAAGACCAGATGGTGGTCAAAATTTGAACAGAGGATGGAGAGGAGAAAGCAATCATCTCCCGCCCCTCAGTCTGTGGTTTCTAATATAGGAAGAGATGAGCCATTGAGACTTTCCTTCTCCTGGGACTCCTAGGTGGTCGCCAGCCCACACCCATTCCTGAGGTCCGTGGTACATTTATGGGCCTCTGTTTTGTCCCTCTTTCCCAGGTCACCATCGTGGTCCTCGGCAACAAGTGTGACCTGCAGGAGCAGCGGCGCGTGGACCCAGATGTGGCTCAGCATTGGGCCAAGTCGGAGAAGGTGAAGCTGTGGGAGGTCTCCGTGGCTGACCGCCGCTCGCTCCTGGAGCCCTTCGTCTACCTGGCCAGCAAGATGACCCAGCCCCAGAGCAAGTCCGCCTTCCCCCTCAGCCGCAAGAATAAGGGCAGCGGCTCCTTGGATGGCTGAAGAGCTGCCATCCCTTCTTCACCTTCCCAACCTCAGTCCAGCTTTAGGGGCTTTGGAAGATGAGTTGAGGGGAAAGGGGAAACTCTCCACGAGGCCAGGCAGCTGGGCTGTCCAAGGCTCAGGCCACTTTTGCTCCCCCCCCCAACTCCGGGAAGTGCAAATAATCTAGGTTAGTGTCCCCAACCTCTTTCTCCACCCCAGCTTTCATTATATCTGCCCCACTGTGGCCTGGGGCAGTTGTGGGTTGGTGTCCCTTCCACCTGCCTTGCATGGGAAGTATAGCTACCATGCAGAAGTAAGTACCCAGTCTAGGTCTGGTTCCAATCACGGGTCCCACACTTCTAGTCTTCTGTCGATCACACACACAACCCACACTTCCGGTACCAGGCTGGACTCTAGAGAAAGGGCATCCGGGTATTGTGTATGCGAGTGCATGCTGGTGTTAGGGGTGTGTCCATAGCCAGCACTCTGCCCTTTCTCCTGTCTGTACCTTGGCTGGTAGAAGCCAGACTCCTGGGAAGTATGATTTTCTGTTTGACCTCTTCCCCCAATTGTTTCGCTTCCTCTTCCTGCTCAGTGAGCAGATGGGTCTCATTGGTTGAAGTGGAATGGAATGATGACTACGATGTTACCAACTGGCTTCGTGACCCAGCAAGGCCTTTCCCCTCTCTGAGGTTTAGTTTTCTCATCTGTTAAGGTGACAGGAGTTGCTGAGATGACCTCCTGGATCTCCTCCAGCCCTATGATTTCATAATGCCCATGGCTCTGGGCCGGCTATGACTGTACCCTCTGCTTTTCCCTCTTCAAGGTGCTATGCCTACTGGCCCTGGAGGCTGGGACACTACTCTTTGCCAACCACCAGGGGGCAGGAACTCACTATCTGCTGTAGTTGCCAGAATGGCTGCTCTGTGCCCAATGGGGAACCTCACACCCTTGGGGGCTGGTCTTCACCCCTTCCTGTGGTTGCTTTCAGCTAATAGCTGGACTTTATTTATAAATTACCTGTTATAAATTCATATGCTGCCATGGTGAAGGCTGGACAAGGTGCTTCTCTAGCCCTTCTTACCTCAGATGCCTGAACAGAACTAGGCAAACAAACAGCAGCTTCTCAGGAGCTGACAGATCTATGGGGGCTCAGAAGGGTAGATACACTCGACATGCTATAAAGTGAGCTTATGACCCACAACTTCCTGTGCCCACTTCATGCTTCTTCTAATGGGCACAGCTACCATAGGTGAGCCCCTGTAGCCAGGTGACCTCCAATACATGCCTCTTCTCCCCAGCACAGGAGAGGTGAGCAGGGGCAAGTGGCCCAGGGCTGGGCGAGTGAAGTTAGGGCATATACAAGCTCAGGCTTAAAGTTCATTTATTGATGCATTGGACACAATAAAACCACAACTGTTATCAAAAAAGTTCCCCCCTCCCCTTCCTTGTTCTCCGATTGGAAACATCTAAAAAAAAGATACAGGTGGATACTGGCAACGTCCCATAGTGTGGGGTAGGGGTGGGGGGTTGGGGTGGGATGGAGGTTGTGACATTAACTTTGACAGCATGAAAATGGGTCCTTAGAGTGTATCAGACTGGATCCCAATACTCAGCTTCACAGTGAGGGGGGCTTGGGGTGCTGGTTGGGAGGAGAGAAAGCTGAATTTCGTGCTAGGGACCAGGTTGGGGTGAGGAGCTAGAAGGGAAAACTTGGGAGCCCTGGGGTGGATTCAGTGTTAGCTGAGTCCACAGCCTGAGGGAGACTCAGTGTGCCCCCCCACCCCAGAGCTGGGGTTCAGGAGGAATCAATGAAAGGCTAAGAGGGGATTGATCACTTCTATGAACACTGGGCCCAGCCAGAACGTCACCTTTTCCACCCCTGTCTTAGCCCCATCCCAGTAGAGCAGATGAAGCCCCCAAAAGCTTTCAGCACCGGCCCCTGCCATGGCTTTGCCCCACCTTAGCACTGCTTCCTTTCTCCTCCAGTCTTTCACCTCACCCGCATGGGTCAGCTTTTCCAGATAGCCTTGAACCCACTCCAGCTTGAGAGCCCATCCCTCATCTCTAGTCATTGTCCAGAGAATCCAGTGAATGGGGAGGGCCTCCCCAGAGCATGGGAATGGAGGTCACAGACTTCTCCCCTGGCTGGGGCCTCTGGCCATGTGGGTACAGGTCTCGAGTGGGGAACAAGAGCACCATGGGAGTGGGGCTAGGATTTTGCATAGATCTTTGGGATTTCAGTTTGCTCCCCGGAAATCAGGCTGGGAAATGAGGGCGGGGGTGGCCCTCGGGCCAGGGGGTATTAGTGGAACCCTCTGTCCAGATGGAGTGAAGGGCAGCTGCCCTTAGAACTAGCCCAGCTCTTCCTAGATTGGTCAGGAACCCCCTAGGCTGCAAAAGGCAGTCCCGTGTGGGATGCAGGAACCGAGGCATCTCGGGGGGAGAAGAGTGGGGAGAAGGATTGCTGGGAAGTCAGCCCCTGCCTCCCCAGGGGGGCTAATAGGGAGCAAAGAGGATGGGTCCCGGGGCAGGGCGAATGGCCCCCGCTGGGGTGCGAAACAGAGCTGGGCCCAGGATGGGAGCTGGGAAGAGGGTGGTGGCTGTGGTGGGGGCGGGCCGCAGGGCCAGGGGCCCTGGCAGGGCACAGATGGCCGCACCTGCAGCGGGGATCGGGCTGGGCAGGAAGCGGGCCGCCAGCGTCTTGGTGAGTTGCTTCTGCAAGGCCAGTTTGGACTGCAAAGAAGAGAGAGAGGACTGGACACGGGCCCTGACCCCAGAAAATCCCCCCTCCTTCAGCTCCGACCTTGGGCTTCTTGCTGTAGGAAAAACGTGCCTTTTAGGGTTCCAAACCTAAATCCTCCTCCCTTCCCACCCCCACACATTCATTCCAAAGGGCTTTCTCCGCCACCTGTCTTCCTGCCTAGAGGGAGGAGAATCAGGATGGGCCAAGGGAGGAGGCTATTCGGGGTGGGGGTACAGATGGTTACTAGGAGATGCACGCCACCCCTTGCTCTTGGCGCTGAGATTCCTACCCAGGCCCACCTCCCCGGAAATTCCTCTGGGCAGATCACAGGACAGTCAAAACCCCAACCCCAGCTCTTTCTCTGCCCAGGCATCCTGGTGGCTTTATTCCTGCCCCAGCCCCTCAGCTGCGCCCCGCCCCTGTTTCCCTCCCCGCAGCAGGGTCCCAGCCCTGTTGCTCGGAGACAGATACCTTGAGGATACTCACAGCCAGCGCTGCGTGCTTCTGCAGCTTGCTGTGCTGGCTGGAGGGCTTGGAGGGTTTCCCGGCCAGGCGGTCTTTGTGCCTTCGGCTGCTCAGGTGCTAATGGACAGACAGACAGACTGGGAACAAGCTGAGGAAGCCCAAGGACCCCCAACTACCCCATCCTCCTCGACTAGCCCACCCTTCTCTGCCCACAGTTCACACACTGGACGTACATTTACTGGGCATCATCACCTGGCGTGGCCCTGGGAGGGGGAGGTAAGTACTGGCCTTTGCCCTCCAGGAGCCCGGTGTCCCCCTAGCCTTCCTCCCCTTCCTCTGCCAGCTCCCCCTGGCTTTCATCTACCCACCTATCTCCTCCTCCCCTGGCGCTGGTCCCACCCCCTCGCCCCTGCTTCGGCCCCAATCCTGGCCTCCCTTCTCCCACCTGCTTCAGCTGGGTCTCTGAATTGACCTGGAGCTGACAGACAGCACAGTGAAAAGGGGGGTTGGGCCCCTGCCGGCCCCCGGTCACTCTCTTGGCCCTGTGTCCAGCTCCTCCCCGGGGCACTGGGCGGCCCCGGCCTCTTCGAGGAGCCCCTCGCTGACCTTCCACCATCCACCGGTGCTTGGCTCCTGGAGGGAGGAAAGAAGACAGCCTGTCAGCGCCAAAGGGGGGCTGCAAGGGCCACAGAGACCCCTCCAAACTAGGTCAGTTTGGTCGTCCCTTTAGCCTCAAGGCTGCTCAGCACATACACTCCGCACCAGCCACATGAGATTTCTTTTTCCCATCTCTGCAAGGTCTTCCATGCTTCTCTCATTTCAAGCCAGCCACCCGCCCCCTCGCCCCCAGGGAAGGCCTTGCAGTATAACTGGTTGGCTTCCCTTTTCTCATCTCAGTCCCTTCCTCTGGGTCTGACTTAAGGAGAGATGGAGGAGGCGTCCCCTGTCATCTCTGGAGTGACCCTTCATTTCTTGCTTCACTTCCCAATTCTCCCCCCTCAAGCATTAGCGGGAGGACCCGAAGTGCCCGTCGGATAACAGCTGAGCACAATGCTTTTGTCAACAAGCCTTTGAGCGAAGTGTCCAGAAACTGCAGCCTGCCCACATCTGCTGAGGGGCACTCCTGCCCCCCTCCTTTCCCCAGACTTCAGCTGCTGGGGCACACTGACCTGTGTTGTGAGCCTGAAGCTGGGAGGCGGAGTTCACTGTCACCTTACACGTGTGGCAGTAGAGGCGCCCCTTCTCACTCTTGCCTTCCCCACTCACACCGCTTGCCATAGCAGCTGCCGCCGGCTCAGGCCCTGGTGCCTCTCTCCCAGGCTCTGGGGAGCAGGGTGGGCAGGAAGAAGAAGAGGAGGAAGAGGAGGAAGCATCCAAGAGATCTGAGTGGGCTGGCTCCCTGGGCGTTGGGTCCGGAGTCAGTGGTGGCTGGAGCGGGGGGCCAGGAGGAGGGGCTGCAGGAACTGATGGGGAGAAGGCATCGGGGAAGAGCGTGAGGCCTGACCTGAATCTGGAGACCATGATTTTAAGTGCTGACATATTGGGGGTGGCATGGCAGAGTGGAAGCGTCACTAGTGCGGAGATGACCAGCACTGAATTCCAGACCCTACTCTCCCACCAACTCACTGGACAGACTTAGGCCTCTTTGGGCCTCAGTTTCCCCACCTGAAATCATAAAGTTGGACAGAGTAATCTCAGAAAGCCCTTACAGCCCTGATATTTTAGTTATTAGCTAACTGTTAAATAAGCAGAAATCACCAAAAAAAAGTATTAGAATGTTCATAGAGCATTATTCATAATAGTGCAAAACTGGAAACTATTCAAATGTCCGTCAGTAGAATAGATTTAAATAAAAGTTGTACAGTCATGTGATAGACTACTACAAGGCAATGGGAAAAGACAAACTACAGCTACGTGCAATAACACAAAGAATTCTATAATGAATGTTGATGTATGTTCATGAAAGATAAACAAAAGCCAGTCACAAAAGCCTGCATACGACATGATTTACAGAAACCAAGTGAAACTGACCTATGCTGAGAAAAGTTAGGATTGTAGGTACCCTGGAGGGAGGGGTGTAGGTGGTTGAACAGTGTCACCCCAAAATTCATGTCCATCTGTGACCTCAGAATGTGACCTCACTTGGAAATAAGGTCTTTGCAGATGTAATTCGTTAAGATGAAGTCATATTGGAGTAGGGTGGGCCCTCATCCAGTGACTGGTGTCATAAGAAGACCATGTGAAGACACAGAGACACACATGGGGCAATGAAATGTGAAGACAGAGGCCGAGATTGGAGCGATGTATCCACAAGCCAAGGAACGTCCAGGATTGCCGGCCACCAACGGAAGCTAGGAGCGGGCGGCAAGGAACAGATTCTCCCTCAGAGTCCCCATGAGGGGACCAACCCTGTCGACACCCTGATTTCAAACTTCTGACCTCCAGAACTGTGAGAAAATAAATTTCTATTGTTTTCAGCCACCCAGTTCGTGGTCATTGCTAATACAACAAGGCAGTACAGGGAGGGGGCCCGAGGCTGGCTTTCTGGGTGCTTGAGAGAGGTTTCTTGATCTCAGTATATTCAGAAAGGAAAATTCTGTGGGTTCTCCACTTGTGATGTGTGCCTGTTTCTCTTATGGGAATATTCCAACACAAGCAAAAATAAGCAGCAGCAGCCATTTCTCAGTCCCTCGTCAGAAACCGGATTTGGAGCGGGGAGCTAAGAGAAGCGTTCAGGACTGACCTTTGCTCTGCAGCTCTCCAGGGGCTCCACTGGCCACAGGCGGGGTTGGGGACACCAGTGTCCCATCCTGGGCCAGGGTTGGGGGCCTCTGCTTGCTCTTGGCAGCTTCGACAGCCTTGAGTTTTCTGGCATGTTTGTGGCCTTTATAATGTGCTTCAGCCTGGTTCTGGGGAGGGGACGGCATGGGGGTCACCATTCATTCACTGTGTCCACATGTCCCATCTGTGTGCTTGTGCTGGGCAGGGGACAGGTTAGAGGGAGGCAGGGGTCGGGCCACACAAGGGGCAAATCCTTATCACTGCCATCGTCATCACAGTATGTGTATGGCCATGAGGTTTACAGAACATATTCTCATACATGAGTCCCAGGCAGGCAGCCTCTGGCTTCAAATTCTGACTCAGCCACCTAGTAGCTGTGCATCTTTGGGCAAGTCACCGCACCTCTCTGAGCCTCAGTTTCCTCACTCATAAACTTGCAATGATAACACTGGCCTCACGGGAATGTGAGAATTAAATGAGAACCTGAATAAGGGCCTAGTACATACAGGAGGTGCTCAATTAATGTTAGTTACCAAGTTTATAAAGGCAAAAATGGAGAAAACAGAGCAGTCCTCACCCTTTGTGGTATGTGCACCCCAGAACATTCATCCTTTTGTTCATTTTTTTCAACAAATAGTTATTGAGCATTGGTTATTTTTGCCAAGTACTGTGAGGAGCCCAGCTTGAAGACACGGTCCCTCCCTCAGACTGAAGTCTTTGTCCAGCTCATACGCAACTCATATAACCTGAAAGCCTGGAGACGACCCCCAAATCTGGCCTGGCAGTTTCTTCCCTCCTTCAACCAGGGGTTCTTGCTTGTTGCTCCCAAACGTAGGAAAGACAGGCCCTGTGGCACCCCTGGATGCTTTCAGCAGAGCAGGTCTGCGGAGAGCTTTTCCCCAAACCCCAGAGTTACCTAGACAGAAGGTAAACCTTCCCTGGGAGGCCAGAATGAGGCTCCTCCACTATCTAGGGGCAGGCTATGGTAGAAAAGTATGTGGGTCTTAGGGTCAGCCAGGCCTGGGTTCAAATCCCAGCTCTGCTACTTACCAGCTGTGTGGCCTCAGGCAGGTCACTTAACCTCTCTGAGGCTCAGTTTCCTCATCTGAAAAGTGGGGATGATAATAGTGCCTCTATCCCTCTCATAGATGTATCATGAGAACTCATTCAGATGATGGGCATGTACACATTCTGTAAGCTCTCAGATGCTTTAAGGAGCTGATGGGGTGGCCCCTGGGACCCAGAGTGGGGAAGAAAGGGCAGTCTTCTCTCTTGGATCTTGGAAGGATCCAGAACACAGGACAGAGGCACAGGGGAAGGAAATGGGCGTCTCAGGGGGACTAGAGAGGGAACAGGCGGAGGGCTCTGAAGAGGAGAGGATGGAAGGATAAAGGACCAGGGATGGAAAATACGGACCACGACCCCTTTGCCACCCCTGTTCCTCCAGGAAAGACCCCAGAAACCAAGTCTCCAGCCCTCTCCCTGCCCACCCCCCTCCCAAGTCTATTTCTACTCCTTCTCACCGCTGAGTTGAACCTCAGGTGACAGATGTTACAGGAAATGAAGAGCTTCTTCTTCAGGGGGGAAGGGACCCCAAACGTGTGGCTGATGACAGCTTTCTGGACGGGGTCCATCTGTGAAGGGGGTGGGAGGGCATAATAACTCTGGGGTTGGCTTCAGAAGGGGAGACAGTACAAAATGTCAAAAATTAAAGATTATTAAGGAGGGCAGTGGTCAGCCCCTAGGAAGAATTTTCCCATCCTTGCGATGTTAGACACAGATAAAGAAGCAGCCTCTTCCCGGCCATACTTTATCCATCAGCCTGGGCTTCTGCTTGGAGGCAGGAGATACGGTGACCTCCATGATCTTGAGAGTTAGAACCATGTCCTGGTAATCACCTTGGCATTTCTTGCTATCCTTCTGGTCTCTGTTTTGTTCTCATTCACAAGAATCACAACTATTGGGACAGAGAATTGGGGGCGGGGAGAGGCAGGGAAGGGACAGAATCCCTCCATTGGAATTTCCTCTCCCATAACCCAGCCTTGCACTGGACCTGTGGGCCGCGGGAGATCAGGCTTATCTTATGAGCTCCACCACTATCCTAGGGCCTGAGTGGGAGAGGAGGATCATGGCCAGGGGAAGGTGGGGGGCCAGGAGGGGGCAGGCGGCAGCAAGTGGGGGCTAGAGGGTTCTCTGAGTAGTAGGATCATTTCTTTGGAGTATTAATTTGTGTGTCTTTTTCTTTTCTTTATTTTAAGTATTTTTTTTTCCTTCTATCAAAGCAAGCCTTTACACTCCCTTTTCTCAGGGGCCTGGATTGTTGGGCCCAAAGCAGAAGCTGTCTGGGCTTGCTTGTCAAGAAGTTTCCAAGCCTTCCTGAGAAGAAAACAGAGGCTTTGAGAGAAAAGCAGCGTTTCAGAAACTTCCCTGTGAACACAAAGAGATTCTAACCCTCCCAGCACCCAGGGCCAGGATGGCAGGGGACAGGACCTCAGAGAATGGCCTGCAGGGCCCCGAGCGACGAGGATCACAGTGGCTTCACCCACTCTTGAGAGACCATGCAAGCGACAGCAGGAACCAAAGACCAGAGGACCCTCTCCAAAAGTCTGAGGCTCCAAAGGACCTCTGTGAAACCCTGGAGGTGGGGGAAGGGATTCCTCAGGGTAACTGAGACTGAATTTCCCACCATCTTGTCAGGATGGGGTAGGGCTCATCAGTGATTATATTTCATTTTTCAAACTTTAAAAGGGGGACATTCCTTATAGCTCATGTAGTGAAGTCAAGTTCATGCTCGGTACACTTACTCACACACATGAACATGTGGAAATACATAGACTAGTATACAGACAGATAGCATTTACGCTTACAGGCAGTTATAGGTTACAGAGATATGCAGAAAGGTACACACTCACACGCACACAAATGGCACAACCACAGAAAAATGCACAATCACCCCACCCACACAAAACACACTCACTCAGACACACACCAAACACACAAAGACACAAAACACCTCTCAGATACACAGGCACACACATTAATTACATACCCAGGCACAAAGAGTTGTTTACAAACACACCCTGGACACCAACACACAAAGTCACGTCCGTAAATAAAGACCTGGAGAGTCACAAACTGAAACAAAGGCACACTCTAATTGCACACAGGCATACATAAATCATCCATAGAAGTCCCTATACCACAACTCAAGTGAAACCTACAGTAGAGACCCCACAGGCCCAGCAGTGGTTTTGGGGGCAGGGCGTGACACCATCTTTCCCTAGCCCAGATAGCTGGGCCCAGGGGTCTCTATTTTGGGAGGGCCTACTCACTTGGGGATGTTGGAGGAGGATGAGCTCCTGGTTAGACCCAGCTTCTGAGTGCTGGCCCTCTGAGCCCACCTTCCCTGCCCACCCCCAGCTCGGTTGCATGCCCCCACCCGCCAGCCCAGCCCGTACCGTGCTGAAGTTGGGGAAGAGACTGAGCGGGGCGGCGCCATTGAAGTGGAAGGTGAGCAAGTGCTTGAAGTCCAGCGGGGGCTGCAGAGGCCTGGCAGGCAGGGACAGGGAGGCCAGCAGGGGGCTGGGGGCACTGGCGGCTGGGCCTGCTGCAGGAGGAAGAAGGGCAGGGTCTGAAATGGGGAGCCACAGGGGTCTCTCCTGCCTCCACAGCCAGAACAAGAGGCTGATGGGCTTCCTGGGTGTGGAGACAGGGCACAGTAGCACTGGCCAAGCCCAAGGCAATTACAGCCCACCTCTGGCCCTTTCCTCTCTACAACCGGGGAAACAGAAGCAGGGAATCTACAGTGCAAAACTCCCAGCCCAGAAGGATGACCCTCCTGCCCTTACAGAGGCCCAAATGAGCCCCCAAGGGGAGTCAAGCCAAGGCAGGGGACAGAAGCATCAGGGCAGGCCCCTGCCACACACACACACCACCATGGAGGCTGTGCAGCGTGCTGGGTTTCCACTTTATTGCAAATTAAACCCAAACCCAGGAGACCTGGGGAAAGGTCAGCCCCCCCCTTCTCACTAACTCCCCCTCTCCAGATCCCCACACCATTCCCAGCAAGGGCTGACAGAGGCGATGGGAAACCCATGGAACGCAAGGGATGTGTTCCCCAGCTCTGGTGAGGCCCCAACTGCTTCCCCCAGAAGGCAAGAAGCCCTCTAACATCCCTGGGTCTGGCCTGGAGCGGGGTACAGCACTGTGGTTTTTACAGTCTTTGGTCTCAAAGGTCTGAGGCAAGGACAGAGAAGGGCTGGGAACTTGGGGGGAACAACTAGACTTTTATAAATAAATCCAGTTCATTTGGGACTTTTTTGGACCCTGTCATTGCAAAACTAAAAGAAGTCCTGTTAGATTTATGTATTAACACTATGAAAGATAGATTTATTTCACATTTATAGATTTATATGTCTATATACATGGTCACATACAGAAAAGCCTTAGGCAGCCTCTAGGTGGGGGGTGGGAAGGAGGGCACCGCTCCCTCCCTTGAACTGTTAGCTTGCGCACAGAGTACTGTGCGGTGTGTCAAAAACAAGGATAGCGATCTGCTTTCCAGTCATACTGAAGAGAAGAGACGCTGCTAGGAAGAGGACTAAGAAACAGCCAAGGACCCATTCTCCTTTCCCCCAATCCCTTAGCTCCGAAGACCCTAGTCTTCCTCCCTCCAACCAAGACACCACCCCCCAACTTTTAGAGGGCCAAAACTTGGGCTGAGTCCAGAGGGAAAAGGGTGAGAGCTACTCCTCACCCAACTCTCGAATGGTCAGCAGCAATATTTAGGTGCCCCAGACGCTAGCATCTTCGTCCACTCGCCCAGGTCCCCCTTGACCCAGCCCCTCCTTCACAGCCCACAGGGCTAGGTCAGCCCTCCGCGTGGAGCAGAGCACGCATGGGGAAGGTGGGGAGAAGGCCACAGTTAGTAGGCCAGCTTGGGTGCCTCACGGTCAAGTCCAGCTTGGCCCTTCGAGTGCCCAGGGCCCCAGGCTGGCTAGGTAGAGAGAAGAAGGCCACCGTCACATGAGCTGTGACCCCAACAGCCCCTCCCCCCACCCACTCTCTAAGAACTCCACCGCCAGCGCAAAGTCAAACTCGTGCAGCGGCGGCCCATCCACAGCGATCTTGACCGCGGGGTCACCCCGGCCTTCCCCGGTCCCGCCCTGCCCCCACCACCGCAGTTCTCGGCTGCGGCCGACCTTATCCAGGAGGCCGGCACCCACAGGTAACGCCAAGGCCAGGGCAGCTAGGGCGGCGAAGTCTGGGAAGATCTCGTGCAGCTCGGAGTGCGCGCACGCCAGCTTGGCGCACAGAGCCCGGGGGCCCAGCCGCCCGAGGCTGCAGACCAAGCGCTTAAAGAGCGCAAAGTCGCTCAGTGCGCGCTGGCGCACCACAACCGGAGCGAAGGCACGCAGCAGAATCCGCAGTGCCCCCTCGCCGTGCGCGCCCAGTTCCTCAGGCGCCTGCGGGTAGCGGCGGGGGTCGAAGACCGCTGCGAAGGCAGCCACAGCATCCAGTGAGGGCCCCGGGTAGGAGTCCCGCAGCCCCCTCCGCATGGAGTCCAAGAAGGCCTCCCGCAGCGGCTCCAAGTCCCGGACCGCAGCTTCAGAGTAGCCGACGAGCTCCACGCCGCGGTAGGTGCAGCGCCCACTGCCCAAGTCCAGGCCAGAGGACGCCAGTTCCTGCAGGAAGCCCCGGAGGTGCGCGCCACCCGAGCTGCCCCGTTGTGTTTGGAAGGAGGCTGCAGCTGCCATCACCAGGGGCTGCAGCAAGGCCAAGTCCGGCTCTTCTGGCTGCAGGACAAGGGCGACCTTCTGCACAAAGGGCAGAGTGTCCAGCAGCAGGTGGGTGAAGGCCACGAAGGTGAACTGGCGCAGGGCCAGGGCCAGGGCCCTAGCTGTAGGTGAGGCTGGGGCAGAGGCCTCCAGTGTGGGCACCAGGCAAGGCCAAGCCTCAGCCACTGCTTCCACGACGGGCAGCAGGGAGGCCCAGGGCACTGACCGTGATCCTGCCAAGTCAATAGCTGCAAGGTCCAGCGCCGCTCGGAGCTCAGGGACCATGTGGGAACTGGGGCCACCGTGGAGGCGAAATAGGGCATCCAGTACACTTTCATATTCACCTAGGTAGCTAGGGGACTCAGGATCTGGCCGGCCCGGCAGGCAGTGTAGCTCCATGAGCAGTGGGCAGGCGGCCCGGAGCTGCAGGCCCACACTCCCCAGACGGTCACTGGGGAGGCTGGAGCTGAACCAGGCCAGCTTGTGTGCTGACACGCCGAAGGCCTGCAGGATGTCCAGGAGTTGGCCAGCAGTGGCCTCGCCCTCCTGTAGCTCCACACTGCCCAGGAAGGTGGTGGCAGGCTGGCCATCACAGGGGGACACGGAAGTGGCAAACAAGGCCAGACTGTGTGACTCAGGCCAATCCCTGGTCTCATCCAACACCAGCCCCACATACGGGGATGCCTTCAGGCGCTGGCAGGCCTCTGTGTGCAAGACACTGGCAATGGCCACCTGGGACAGCCACGGGAGAGAAAGAAAGGGAGGACAGAGTTAGGCTTGTGCTGAGGAGAGGCAGGCGGTACAGGGTGAGAGAAAGCACAGGCCTTGGCATCAGACAAGACTTAGGGATTAATCCTAGCTTTGCCACTTACTGGCTATGTGACCTTGGGAAAGTCATTTCACTTCTCTGAGCCTCAGTTTCCTCCGCTTTAAAACTGGGCTAATATGTGTGCCCTCAATCTCCTCAAAAGGTTGTTGTGAATTATAAATGTAACTTTGTGTTGCACTTATACATGTAGAATGCTTTATAAACCATAAAGTTTCTATAGCACTTGGTGTGAGTGTGTGTGTGTGTGTGTGTGTGTGTGCGCGCGCACGCGTTTCTGCATCATCGCTCAGTCGGCCTTATTCCTGGGGGTCTCCCTCCACTCTGTTGTTCAGGGATTAGCTGACAGACACATTCACTCTCAACTCCCAACCAGTTATACGGGGCCCCAGCTTTGTGCTCTGTTTGTCATCTCTTTGTAAGATGAGATCAACTCGCCCATCCTCACACCAGCCCCTCGGACTCACACAGCTAGTACCTAGGACAGGGCTGCAACTTACATGCCCCCAGGGGCCACATGGGTAATACTGAGCTAGAAGTGGGCCAGGGATAAAGCAGATGGAATGGGGGAGCCTATGCCTGCTCCCCAACTCCACTACTTCTTACCCCAAGAGCACAGGGACCTAGCTTTTCAAAAGTCATAAATCCAAATTTTTTTATATGTAATCTCTCATTTTGTAAAACTTGGAAGTTAACTTAAGTTTTTCAAAAACACTGTGAAAACCAGCAAAACACATCTGTGGGCCAGTGAAGCCTTGGGGCCACCAGTTTGCAATCTCTGGCCTAGAGAAGTGCCCCTGTGTCCCCAAGAACAAGACCTGATCTATCTGCTTCACTGTGTGTCCCCGACAGCTGGCCCAAGGCCTGGCACACAGTACACCCTCAGTGAAGGTTCTGATGGGTAAAAGTATGAATGAAGTGCTCTGGCCGGTGCCCAGGGGCCTGGCATGCTGGCTCTGTGCCCAGAAAGCTCCATGTCCTCCCTCCCCAAGTCCTCCCCCATACCTCTGGCTGCCACCCACCTGCATGTCCCTCACCCTTCTGGGGCTGTAGTAATCGCCATGCTCCGTGCCCAGCAGCGCCTGGCACAGGTTGAACCTCTGTAGCTCCAGCAGGGCTGAGCAGCGGTCATCAGGCACGTCCTCCTTGGCCATGCAGTACACTGTGGTCAGCACAGCCACTTTGGCAGGATCCACCTCCACCTTTAGGCCCCCAGAGGTGGGGGGGGTGGCCAGGCCTGGGCAGGCCCCTCCTTTCTCAGCCTGGCCCTCAAAAGTGGGCTGGCCCCGGTTGACCGCCAGAGCCTGGCGGTGGGCCCCTGAGGTCACGTGGCGCAGCAGGGCATGGCGCTGGAAGTTGTCGGTGCCGACGGTGAAGGCGTTCTCAGCTTTGCCATGCTTGTTCCGCACCAGGGCCTGGCGGCACTCGAGGCAAAACATCAGCTTCCGCTCGTAGTCAAAGTCCAGCCAGGTAAACTCCTCTTTCCAGTGCTCATTGAAGTAACGTTTGCATTTCTTGTTGGAGTTGGAGGCCTCTCCCGCTGGTTTCTTCCCAGGGGGCACCATTCCTGCTCCAGGGGCAGGGCACCCCCACCCCCCACCCGAATGCTCTTGCCCCCCAGCCTCCCCACACACACACAGAGGCACCTCTCTTGACAAGGGGAGTTTGTACGGAGGCAAGAGAGGGGCAGCCCGCCAGGCTAATGGGGGCCATCCATCTAACTTAGCTGGGAAGTTTATTCCTGCTCCGCCGGTGGGAGGCTGGAGATGAAAGAGACAAGGGAGGGGTGTTAGGGAGTCCACCATGGGTTCACACTGCCCACAGAGCACTCCCCAGGGCAATGGGGAAGGGACACTGGGAGTGGGCAGGGTCATGCAATGGGCCACAGAGTTACCCAAAGTGGGGGGGTATGGGAGCCCCCCACTAGGGTCTCCCTCCGTCCAGGACAAGGCACTGATTAGCACTGACTGATGGAAAGACTGGTACCATCTATGCAACCACATTTTATAGGTGAGGGAATTGAATCCTAGAGACAGAGAGTGGTTCTCAGGGTTCATGAATAATCTGTGGCTGAGCGAGCGAGAACAGAAACTCAGACCTCCTGACTCCTTGCCCACATGATGACTGGTCCCTCCAGTCCACAGTCATTTATTTCATCAGAAGGAAGTCAGCACAAAGCTGAGCTTCCAGAGCCACAAGACCAAGAAACTGGATTTGTTTTCTATGGACCTGCCTTCTCTACACACACACACACACACACACACACACACACACACACACACACACGCGCACACGCATGTGCACATGCACACAGTGTGGTTCTGGGAAAGGCGGTCTAGAAGTGGGGGCTGGGTCCCAGAGTGAAGGCACCTAGCTGGTTGCCTCTGTTTCCCTCACTCTACTACCACCCCAGGTATGAGGTCAGGATGAGCAGCAGTTCAAAACCAGAAGGATGTGTCCAACTAATGGCCAAAACATGCCAACTCTGCCTCCTAATTATCTTTCAAACCTGTCTGTCCCCTTCTCTCCATGCCTACTAATAACAACAGCAGTAACGGCCGTTTATCATTTATTGAGTGTGAACAGAGTCAAGCCCAGTGCTGTGTACCTTCCAGTGACTCTAAGAGGAGACCAAGATTCCTCTTGCAAGGACTCTCTGCGGGTAGTATTTTCATTTTGGAGAGGAGGAAACCAAGGCTCAGGGACTCGAAGTGACTGGCCCAAGGTTCCACAAGCAGTAAGTGGCTGAGGCAGAATCAGATCCCAAGGCCTCCTGACACCACAGGCCACACTTAGACCCTGGCCTACACCGTCTCACCTGGACTACGCAGCTGCTTCTGCCTCTGCAGACATCCCCACAAATGCGTCCCTCGTGCAGCAGCCAGAGAGCAAGGCCACACAAAGATCCATCTATGTCACTCCCTTGCTTCCCCCTCTTCAGTGGTGTCCTGTTGCCTAAGTCTACACACCTCACCATGAGCCAGTGAGGCTGCCTCCACCTCACCAGCCTTTGGACACCTGCAGAGTCTCCTCCTGTCACTCAGGTCTGTTCGGCCAACTCCAGAGGATTACCATCCTTCCCTGCCGCACCTCCCCCCCCCACACACACACATTACTGTTACTTTTGCTCCTGCCTTCATCCTCTGTGCCTGGAAATCCCTACCTCTCCTCTTTCCCTGGCTAATTCCCATTCATTCCTGGAGGGCAGCTCAGATATCCCCTGGGCTGGTACCTACCCTCAACCTGGGCTACTACCTGCCCTCTGGTCTCCCATAATCCCCTCTGCATGGTGAACACAGGGATTCTCTATACATTTCTGTACTTGGTTCCTGGAAGGCCAAGATGATATTTTGTACATGGTTGGATCTCTAAGTCCCTGTACAGGGCTGGGCACGCAGATGCCTCTCAGCAACAGTTGGTTGTTTAAAAGAATGAAAGGATTGATTTTGGCTATATGAAAGAACTTCTTGTTTCTGAGACTGTTGGCTAGATGGGTCTAAGCTCTGAGAAAGCAGGAACTGCCTTGTCCACCTGATATTATACCCAGCACCCTGCGTGGACCCTGGCACTTAGTGGGTAGGTAAACTAAGAACAGATAAGTAGAATTCCAGGGACAGCTTGCCTGTTCAGTGTAAGGGAAGGCACTCCGTGTTGGCAGATGTGGATGAAACTCGTTGGTCTTCTTCCCCCGGACTCTGAGTGGCATTTGTACTCCTCACCATGCCCTCTTTGAAACACATTTTTCTCTTGGATTCCAAGACTCCACCGTCCCTGGTTTTCCTTCCCCCATCAGCCACTCCTTGGCCTGTGTTATCATCTCCACCTCCTCTTCCCAAACTTGACCTGTTCAAAGAGTTCAGAACCATCTCTGCTGGCCACTCTGAAATACACAACCCCAGCCTGGGCTAATCCTCTGGGTACCACACCTCTCCATCCAACCATCTTCCTGGCTTGTCTAAATGGAACTCTCAGTCTGTCCCTACAAAGTATGCTCCTCTCCCAGTCATCCCCAGCCCAGGAAATGGCCCATCCTTCCACCCAGGTGCTCTGGCCAGAAACTTGCCCCTCTAAGCCCCGCTCTTTTCCACATCCAGCACTGGGTCCATCCCCAGGTCCTGTTGATTCCACGTCCACAGTTTATCTCTAAATCAGTCTTTCTCTCCATGCTGCTGCCACCATCCTCATCCAGGCCACCTATATCTTGTCTGGACTATGCCAATCACTTCCTGATGGCACTCTGGGTTTCTCCTCTTACCCGTCTCTGAACCATTCAGACCCCAGCAGCCAGAGGGGGCTTTTAAAAACACTGCTTAGAACCCCTCCACTTCTGCCTGTTGCTCTGAAGTCAGTGCTGACTTCGCTGAGGCATTGCTGACTTCTCTGGCAGCCTTGTGCCTCCCTCGCCTTCCAGCTACACTGGCCTTTTCTTGGTTCCTCCATTGTGCCACGTTCCCATCCTCAGGGCCTCTGCACATGCTGTGCTTTCTTCCAGCATGCTCCCATTCTCCATCTCAACACTTTGCCTATTCCACTTCCCCTCTGGCCCTAGGTTAGCCCTCCCTTCTTCAGAGAAGGCTTCTCTAGCCTTTCCTAGGAAGTCCCCTTCTTTTCTTTCACTACTCCCTGTCAGTCTGTTTCTGTGCAGTGCAGTTCTATTGCTTGGTGTCTTCTCTCTCTCTCTCTCTCTCCCTCTCCCTCTCTCTCTCTCTCTCTCTCCCCTCTCCAATTCCCTGAGAGTAGGAAAGGTAACTTTTTTTTTCATGTCTGAACCCTAGAGAAGGGAACAGCCTGGCACGCAGCAGGTGCGGATGTGAATGAATAAGGAAGCATGATCTCTCAGGCAGAAGGAGTAATAGAGTGGGCCCTTGGGCACCTGTTGGGTGGCTAAAATCGCCGCTGTGACCTTGTCCAGCCCACCACCAGGGTCTTTGGGTGCAAAGGAGGTGCAAGGCCAAGGTGATAGCCTTCTGGGAGTTTGTCAGATCCTTTCCACATACCTAGATGCTGGCTCTCCTGCCCCATTCTGCAGAGGGATAAAATGGCTATGAGACCTAGGATGTTTCTGATAAAAGATCAAAAGAGTAGGTAGGAAGGAAGCGTAGAAAGATGGAGATTCTGAAATTGCACTGTCCGATACAATAGCCACTAACCAAATGTGGCTGTTTAAAATTAATCAGAGTTAAATAAAAAAAATTTTAATTCAGTCCCTCAGTTGCACTAGCCACAGTTTAAATTCTCAATAGCCAGATGTGGCTAGTGCCTATTGTATTAGACGGCCCAGATAAAGAACATTTACAACATCCCAGAAAGTTCTATTAAACAGCCCCGCTCAAAATACACCTGCACACACACACACACACACACACACACACACACACACACACAGACAAAATTCATTGACATTCCCCACCTCAACCTGGCAGAACCAGGCTGGGTGGGGTGGGAAAGGACAACATGACTATATTTGACCAAGGCTGAGGTGTCACAGACCCAGGTCCCTCACACCTCTCTGCACCCAGGCCAGCTGGATGGCGGCCAGCACAACGTGCAGGCCCCTAGGGTGATGGCGTGTTGATCTGTTGCCCCACTCCACCAGGGCACATAAACCTCAAAGACAGGGTTTGTTTAGCCCCAGGATGGTGGTCCCCAAGCTCCTCCCCAGGATCTTTTGGGCCTCTTTCTTTTGGGACCCCACTAAAGAAGTACACGCTCCGGGCAGAGGAGGAGCAGGCGCCCCCTCCCCTGGCAGCCCGGGTGAGGCCGGGGCACCCTGCACGCCTGTCCTGTCTTCCTGGAGTCCGGACACAGAGGGCTGGGGAACTTCCTCTGGGGGGCGCGTGGGGGAGAAGCCTTCAGATGGGTCCCTCCCCTCAGAGGCACCGGCCATCACCGGCCAGTGCCGCCCGCCCGCAGGGCCTCCAGCCCATGTTGCCCGGGAGGGGGAGCCCCGGCCGGCGGCCCGGCCCCCGCCCCACCCGCACACACTCACAGAGACGCGGGAGCCACCATCTTGAGCGGTGGACGCTCTGGCTGCGGTCTCCTTGGGCTCCACCGAGCGACAGCAGCCACTAGTGGTAACCGTGGCGAAGAGTCGCCAGCAGTCAGCGCGGGTCCGGGTCGCGGGATGGACGGCGGCGACCCCCATCCTGGGGCTCACCCAGCCGCGCCCACCTGCCGCACGATGTCCCAGTGGCGCACGCGTAGCCCTGCGTCACCCTCAGCCTCCCCTGATGCGTGAGCTGCAGCCAGAGCAACTGAGGTTAGGCCGCAGGAAGAATGTTCCCCGGGGCGGGAGGGACAAGTGTCATTCATTCATCATAGGTACCCATCCATCAATTCCTAGACGAGTTCACAGGTGAGAGAGCTCACAGGTGGAGCGCTATGGATGAAGGCTACAGTCTGGTAAGTGTTTGGAGAGTTATGAACGAAATGCTTTGGGATCACAGAGGAGCAGGTAGTAAAAGCAAGGTTTGAGGGGAGAGTCAATTAGGTTTCACAGGAGGGTCAGTGAAATTTTACAGGGGAAGGGCTTTCCAGGCAGTGGGACTACAGAGCATCAGAAATTTCAAGTGCAGTGTAGGTTCACAAAAGTCAAGGTAGAGTGGAAGTATGGGGGGTGGCGGGGTGGGGGTGGGCAGTGCCTGCTGCTGGAAGGCTCTGCAGTGAATGCCGGGGATTTGACCTTCCAACCAGGTGGGGAACCTCAGGAGGTGTTTGAGCTGGGAGCCCAGTGTTTCAATCTAGTGAGTTATTTGTAGTTATTTGTAATGGGGATGACAGAAATGGGGTTGGGGGGCAGGAGTGAACTCTTCCTAGAAATTTCAGATGCACAGGAGACGCTTGTCCTATGTTTGTTCCCCAGAGCTGGGAAGAAAGGGCGTGGACCCCTGCAGGAAGGATGGAGTTGTGGCACCCCAATTCTCCCAGACCTGGAGTCCAAAGGCCTGCGGTGGAGCCCTGCGACATTGAACTCTGAGGCCTTGAGCTAGACACTTAGCTATGAGCCTCAGTTTCCTCATCTGTGAAGAAGGAACTGCATCCAGGTGAGGAAAAAGGGCAGGACAGGAATGCGTGTGAGAACCAAATGAGTCGCTGGGTGTGGAGGTCATTTGAAGAGGGGGTGCCAGGGCACTTGGTGACCCAGTCTCCCCTCCAGTCAGCACAAAGTCACCCAGAAATGCCTTCCAGCCCCCTCACAATTGGGTCCACTCCTCTCTCACACAAGGCCTAGGGAACATGTTGATTTGAGGTCGGGGCCTTTCTGGGGGCTGCTGGGAACTCCCCCCACCCCAGCACCCTTTCCACAGCACTGCTCTGTGCCTCTGACATTCACTGTGAACCTTGGCCCCCAGGGCCACTGGGATGATGCATGAATCATGGCACATGCACACACACTCAAATGAAGGGAGACACCAAGGTCCTCACACCTGCCCCAGGATGGCACCACAAACCTTGACAGGTCAAATACGTATAATTCTTCACACATGGAAGGATCAGGTGTGTGTGTGTGGGCGGCAGGGAGGTCTTCTCTGATGGCATATTGCAGCAGAATAGCTACCAGGGCTAAGTGTCTCGGGGCAGTCCCTCCCCAACCCTAGCCAGTGGTCACAGCTGGGACCCACAGCTCACTGGAAGGCTTCTTCAGAAGTGGGGGTTGTTGTTCTGGTCAAATATGAACAAATCAGACTGCGTGGCAAAGAAGAGGCCACCCCCAGGGTTCCAACTGAGGCTGGGGCAGCAGAGCAGGGGTCTCATGAAATAACATCACCCTGGCTACCACCCAAGGGAGAAGCTCTGGGAAAACCACATCCTGCTGTTTGCCATCACTGGAAAAGACACACAGAAGAGCACAGGGACACACTGAGGTCCACTGGCCCCCACACGGATGGCGACAGGCACAGAGACCTAGGCACACACGTAGATGCCTCTCCCCATGATGAGGCCATCTACACACACTGATGTGTGCACATATGGAGGTGGTACCCACACACAGACAGATACCCATGCTGGCTGGGGGGCAAAGTTGGGCACAGAGGCCACGCACAAGCATGCACGTACACACAGAGAGGCAAGATCAAAGATGCACTCAGATCATAGGTACCCAGAGGGACAGACACGTGAGGACGTGCAGACCCCTGCAGAGGCATATACAGATAATCCAAAACAGCAGGTATGCAGCGGCACACACTATTATAAAGAAAGGCGTGTATACAAAGGTCCATATACAGACACATTTACTCAGAAATAGGTGTGTGCACACACCCGCTGAAAAAATTACACGCATCTGCCATGCATACAAGCTCATATAGCCAAAACCAGAGCCTCTCTCTCTCCCCACCATAGGGGCAGATGGTCCCCTGCAAGGCACACACACACACACACACACACACACACACACACACACACACACACACACACACCCCTCAGATAGTAAAGTTGCCATTTCTATCACAGAAAAAAAACAAAACTCGGCAAAGAAAATGGGAATCCAGGAAGGAGAGAGAGCCAGAGGCAGGGAATGAGAAGTTGAACCAAGACCCTCTGCTTGCCCACGCCCGCCACGGCCTCCCCACATTCTCCAGAGCCCCGAACCCACTTCTGGGTCAGCCCGCACTCGGGAGGCGTTGATGTTCCAGGCGCCCTCCTCCCTGTGCTGGAGGAGTACCCCCAAGCCCAGTCACAAGATGGACTCTGCCCCCAACCCCATAGCCACCAACCCTTGCCCCTATGGAAGGGGTTCCCGAAAGTACCCCTTAAAGGGTAATGGCTGTCTCTCCCAAAAAGGGCCAGGCAATCCCGAGATGGAGAGGTGAGCCAGGAAACCAGGGATAAAGGGGGGCATCAGCATTGACCCCAGTGCAGTGGCTGGACCTTAGGCAGGGCCCCCCCAGATTTCTGCCTGTCTCCCTTTGTCTGCTTCTCTCTCTTTCCTGCTACAGTAACAACTCCCTCCTCAGCCCCCTACCCTAACGCTTCTTGGAGGCTCCTGGGAGCCCCTTAGAGACAGCCTAAGGTGTGATTTGATACAAGGCACCTTTGACACAGGCTCCCTGGATGTTCATCTGCCCCAAAGTGCAGCACACCTCACTCCCACAGGGTGGACCTGCAGCTCCCAACTGTTCCTGCCACCCCTACTCCCACCTTTGTTCCCAGCCAGAATGGGGGCTCCCCTGTCCAGCCCTGAACCTGGAAAAAGGTACCAAGAGTCAACTGGCTAAGGGAGTCTCTTAACAGGCAACTTTGGGTGCCAAGAATAGCAGGAAAAGGACAGGGCTGGGAGAGGGGGGAGGCCCACCCTCGTCTCCAAGCCCCCGTCCCCACCCTGGCTCAGGTGTCCTCAGTACTCACCCAAGAGCATTCTCTGCTTGGAGGCAGCGCTGAGCGCAGAGTGAGGAGCAAATGAAACCCAGCTGGAGAGTGACAGTGGGAAGGGGTGGGGGATGAGAGGGACAGGAGGGAGGGCACGAGGGAGGGACTCCTGCTACTGCCTGGAAAGCAGCGGTTGCCAGACCCTGTCTTCCCTTGCTAGAAAGGAGCTGCCAGAGTCTCTGGTTTCCTCCATCCCAACCAGGAAGAACAGGGCACTTCTTTCCCCAAGGGTAGCGTAGGGGGCAAATAGGAGACTCAGGACGGGGGTGCAGGGGGCATCCACTCCTGGCGAGTCCCTGCCTAGTGACTTGTACACTGAAGCAAAGAGTTGACCCAGCCCACAGAGACCTCCAGGAAAGGAGGTGCTGCCGGCCCCTTCTCTGCCTGCCAGAAAGTTCTTGCTGCTGAACTCTGAAGCCCTGCCGCAGGACTTGCTGCTGTAGGAGCCCCCTTCTCCTGTCCAGCTTGACTCATCCTCTGCCCACCATCCCCTTAGATTCCCTCCCTTCTGCTGAAACTGAGGCTCAGAGAGAGGTGTTACCACTTTCCCCAGAGTGTTGGCCATGGAGGTGGGGGAAGGGAGCCCAGGTGGCGTGTCCCGTTCGTCTAGTGCCTGGATTGTTGGGCCTGCTATCTGGGCAATGTCAGGAAGGGGTGGTGGTGGTCATTGGATCAGCTAGAACTTCTGGCACATCTCCCCTGCCCTCACCCTTTTCCTCTCCAACCCCTCACCCTCAGTCTTGCCTCTCCTCCATTTGCTCCTGTCTTCCCTCCTCTTCCTGAAAAGGGGCTGTCTCTCTATTCACCTGAGCACCTGGTGGCTGAGAGGGGGGTGGGCGGCGGAGAGGAGACAGCCAACCCACAGCTGGATCCCGTCTGGCATTCCAAGTCTGGGTCCCAGAGCTAGCCCCCCACCCCCTCAGCATCCTGTCTCCACCAGACAATAACCTATAATCTCTGGAGCAGCCAGTACCTGAGCCGCAAAGAAGGTCTGGGGAGGGGCTGGCAGCAGCAGCTCCTGAAAACAGGTTTGTTAGGAAGAGGCTCCTGGGGAAGGACTTGCTGGTGTGGGGAGGAAAAGGAAACCCAAGCCCGGAGCTAATTAACCCACCCAGAGACACAGACAGAAGGTTTGTCTTCTGCCAGGGCAGGGATCTGAGCTAAGCCCCCTAATTCTCCACCCAGATGGCCTTGCCTTTCCTGGTGGTCCCTGGGGGAGGTGCTGATGGTCAGGTTCACACCTGGCAAGGGGGAGGCAATGGCCAGGGAGAGCCAGGGGCATTTCTATCACCTGCCACTTAAGAACAGCGGCAGGAGGCACTGCAAGAACTTCTCAGTGGCCTTGGGGGAGCTCAGTTTCTCTGAAACATGTACCCAAAGGCCTCAGGATGGGTTGGAGGGGGGGAGGGACTAAGGAGAAACCAGCAACCCAGGGAGATACTGAAGAGATGGGGGGACAGGCTGGAGGGCTTCCGGGGCCTCCTGATGGGACTGAAATTAATCCATCTGCGGGGAGTGGGGGGGTGAGGAGCTCATCAAGCCAGTGACTCAGGCGTGACCCAGCTCAAGGTCTTTGATCTCTGGGGCTCAGAATGCAGCCAGAGGCTTCTGTAGTCCAAGACTAGAAGAGATGGAGGGGCTGATTAGAACAGGAGCTGAGGGAGGTCTGAGCGCGCAGGGCAGGGGATGGCCTCTACCTGCCACTCTGATCCCTTCCCACCTCAAAGGCACAGGGACATCTGGTGCAGCCATCTTTGCCCCCAAATCCACTATAGTCTGACTCAATCTCTGCTTTCCTGTCCCACTTAGTGTCTACCCTGCATTCCCACCCAAGGCCCCTGTGGCCATTTCAATAAATCAGAGCTTAAATCATTTCTGAAATCCCCTTCTCACCCGTCCTGTGTAATTTTGCAATGGATGATGGGGGACAGGGGTAGGCCCTGAATTGGATGTCTGGGTCAGTCCTGCCAAGAGATGGTGGAGGAATCAGCTGGCTTTGGGAGGGTCCCCTCTCTCTCCCTAGCAGAGTGGGAGACGGCTGGCATCTCCCCTTTTTTCAGGCACATGGCAGCGTAGAGAGGTCACGGGGCCTGAGCACTTGAGAAATCATCTGTCCTGGGAGCTGGTCTGCCTTCTCTGTGCTATCCCTTCTCATTCCTAAAATATTAACGTTCAGGCTCTCCATTAGGGAACAGGGGCATGTGAGATGGGATTTAGAGTCAGAAACACTAGGATCTGAACCCAGCTGTATGACCCTAGCTGTGTCTCTTAAACTCTCTGAACGCCAGTATCCCAGAGGACTGAAGGCCATCATCTATGCCTGGGATGGCTGGGTGAGGAGGGCATGCCATGCTGCACGTGGAACTGCTTTGTAAACAGTTCAGCTCTGAAGTGGACGCTCAGCTTGGCGCTAGAGGTAGGTCACAGCTGCTTGCCCAGGTGTCCCCCAGGCCGTGTGCTGGCCCAACACCGGCACTAGAGATTGGAGCTAGGAGGGTTAAGCCAGCAAACCTTTTCCTGCAATGTAGAAGAACCGCCAAAAATTGTTTAAGGAGGGAGGGAGAGAAGGGAAGGGGAGGGGAGGGGAGGGGAGGGGAAGGGAGGGGAAAGGAGGGGATACTGTCAATGGGATCACTGCATTCAGCCTTATGGGGCAGGTTTCTGGTGCCCACACCCCCTGTGGTGAAAGATGACTTAAGACACAGTCTTGAAGAATGAAAAGGCCTGCTGTGTGGGAGACAGATGGGGTAGAGGGTGGGCTGGGATAGTTGGGGAAGTACCTGGAGCAGGGGAATGGGGAAGTGTGGGTATCTGCTATTTCTCCTCCCAGGTGTTTCAGGCTCTGGGCTGGGAGCTGGGTGTGGCTGAGCAAGGAGGTCTCTGACCCAGGCAC